TGGGACTTTGCCTTTTGTCTTAACTAGAGTGACAGCCCCTTTCCAGGACCAGTGACCCGCCAGACCTATGACACTGCATCCCAATTTCAGTGTGAGCCCCAGTCCAGCCACAGGGCCTTTGTGTCCATGTTAGCAACTGAAGCAGCATACCTTCCCTGAAAATCTTACTTTTTCAGGCTAGTTCTTTCTGACTGCCTTTTATCTCTGTGATTCTTGGTGACTGATGGGAAGGTAAGTCATTCTCCAGTGGCCTTTTTTCTTTTCATCCTTTTCTCTTTTGCTATGAACTGATACCTCTCCCCCGCTTCATCTTTGCCACAATTTCCCATCTACCCTCTGGAATTCATTTTCCTTATAATTTCTCCACCTGGCTCTCCCCGTGCTCTGTCTTTGCGGGATGTTCCTCTACCATCTGCTTTAATGAAAACCTTAGGATGTTACTATCTTTTCTTATTGATAAGACTGATTTTCTCATATAGAAACTTGTCGACCAAGGGGTATTATTCTTTCTTCCCACCACCTCTCTCGTACTTTTATAAAAATTCAAGTTTACCTTTTCTCTTTTGTGTTATTCTGGTCATCAAGCTGACTATTTGTGTTTTTTATTTCCAGTCCCACCTTGCCTTCATTTTTCCCCAACCAGTATTGGCCTTTATTCCGTGTCACTCCTCACACCCCAGTATAAAGGCTGTTTGTTGAATTATTATTGGAATGTGAACTTGGAATCCATCTGATTCTGCTTCTCCCCAATCTGAGTTGCCTGGACTCTGTGAATACTTCTAGAAATCGGGTGCTCACTAGTGGAATAATGAAGCTATCACTTTTTGGATTTGGCTTCTCTTGTAACTCTCATAGCTTGCATTGGATTAGCACCTTTAAAGCTATGTCCATATGCTCCCTCAAGGTACTATCAGCAGCTTAATGTTGTCTGTTCTGAATTTACCATTCTATAACCCACATTAAAGCTCATCATGATAAGATATTGAACTAGATCAGGAGAGTAGATTTAGAAGCTTCACATTAAAAAAAGTAAAAAATAAAATAAAAGGGAGGTAAGTGATGAAAGAACGGTCAGCAGATAACCTCAGAGTGCTAAGCTCACAGGAGTGGCAGCTGTGCTGTGCCCAGGTTCTAAGCTTGTTGAGGGTGAGCTCCTTTCTGCCTGGAATCTGTGTGATTAACAACTAAAAATGCTGAGCTGAAAAGATGGCAGGATCACAGAGCACCAGTGACCACAAAACTCATGATCATAAATCTCAGAAAGGGGATTAAATATGGGTGAGATGGGTGGTGAGGGCTTTCCTTCCTGTTGCCTTTAATTGATTGAGAAACCAGATGAACCCCAAAAATCTCTACCAACAACAGCCATTTATGAGACCCACAATGTGTCTAGCACTTTGCATCTTAAAAATTTTATCCTTTATTTTCTCTATTAATCCTCAAAACTGCCCTATGCAGTAGGCATTATACTTTTACAGGCTGAGTTGTGTGCCCCCCTCGCCTCAGAATATGACTATGATTTCGCAATAAACTCTTTTTATTTATTTATTCATTTGCATGGAAGAATTGGGGTGTAGGCCAGGGGTGTGGGGGCGTGGTGAGAGGGTTCATCAGAGACAGTGTGGGTAACAGAACAGGCAGATCTAATGAAATACACTGCTGAGGGGAGCAGTGGGTGAGATAGGTCTGCTGCACCATATGTGGGGTAGTTCCCTGGCTGGGGATGGAACACAGGCTATAGCTGTGATAGCACAGAGACTTAACCCTGGGGCCACCGGGGATGCCCCTGCAATAAACCCTTTAAAGAGGTAATTAAGTTCAAAATGAAGTCATTGGGGTGGGCCCTAATGTAATATGACAAGAAATAAGAGGAAATTTGGGTACATGCACACATATAAGAAAGACCCTATGAACATACAGGGAGAAAGTGGCCCTTAGAAAGCCAAGGAGAGAAGCCTCCAAAGAAACCAGCCCTACAGACACCTGGATCTCAGACTTTGAGCCTTAAGGACTATGAAAAAATTCAATTTCCTTTGTTTAGGTTACCCTTCCTGTGTTAAGCCACTTTCGGCCTAGCAAATTAATACACCCTTGTTTCCTATCTGAGAAAACTAAGGATCCGCAAGATTGTGTGAACATTCTCATTCTTTGGCTTGGTTGATCTAGGGTTAAATCCAAGTGTGGGACCTCCCTGATGGTGCAGGGGTTAAAGTCTCAGCGCTATCAAGCTATTGCCAGGAGCTAGCCCACATGGCCGCTGTAGACCTCTCTTGTCTTGCCCTCTGCTCCCCTCAGCAGTGTATTTCAGTAAATCCTCCTGTTCTTCTCCCCACTCTGTCTCTGGTGAATCCTCTCACCCCCTGCACCTCTGACCTACACCACAGTTCTTGTATGCATAAATAAGTAAAAATAAATCTTTAAAAAAAATCCAGGTGTGTCTAATTCCAGTGTTTTGTGCCCGTCACTAATGTGTTATGCTGAATCCTGGCTGGATCCGCTTACAGCTGCTTCTCCTTAACTTTTGGAACTGCAACTGGCACTAAATCTTTGACTTTTAGTTCACTGTTGTGTTTTCTAATATTTCTGGCTTTCTTCCCTGTCATACCACTTGCTCTAAAGGTAAATAAAGTTCTGGGCAGAAATAGCACAAACAGGTGACTTGAGTAAGGGACTTTTTGAATCTGGAAAAATGTGCCTGTATTTGGACCTTCTTTCTCAGCTCTCTTTTGGTGAACTGAAGTACAGGAGATGTGTACTTCATTAGAAGTAGTTTTAAGCTCTCTCTCCTTCCCTCCCCCGCCCCCCCCCAATGGGGCAGATATCGAGTATTGTACTTCTTGCTGTCACTGAGAAGTTGGGTGCTTGTTACTCAATCAGGAGGAAATAGAATCACGCACATTTTCCATCTAGGAAGCCTGGGATGGAATCTGGGCATCCATAACCTCTTCTATTCTTTTAACTCTTTTCTGGTGATTTTGATGCGACCATCAAAGGGAGAACCTTGATATTGGGGAATGACTTATTTCTATTGTTAATTCTAAATCATCTGACATAGTTGCATTCCAACAACATTGACATTTTAAAACACTACTTTCCCATTTTAGCTTTCATTACCTACTTACAGTGTAGTACAGTATAGTCCTTTTCATAGTATTTCCATCAATCTTTAACCTGTTTTGAGAATGGGAGGACATAAAAGTCATTGACATAACAGATCTCTAAGCCACCAGTACAAGTGATTCTCAGTGGCTTTTAACAGTTTCAAATTTGAGAGCCCAGGGGAATGGAACTACCCTAAAATATTTTGAGATAGATTCCTCCTGAGATCTGCTTTTTTTCCCACAGCTGCATTTTCCACCCATTCCTCCAGAGGGCCCCAGAGTTCAGAACAGTTGGGGAGCTGAGCCCACTGGCTTGTACTCTCATAGTACAAGTTCCTCCATAGATAAGGAAAGTTTGCCTAACAAGATTTAATTTTTATTTGTTGAAGGTACTGTCATTCTCTTTTAGAGCTCTCTACTCTTTCCTAGTGCTTTTCTCAGCCCTCAACTTCTATCCAAAGTATAAATGACAATGCTTCTCGGCAGTGGATGGTGATATAAGATACAAGGCTTTCTTTAGTGGGGCCATCTCTAAAATTCTCTGTGCATGTTTATCAGTAAAAACTTTGAGTTTACATTTTCAATAGATAGCTATCCATCTTTGTATAAATTATGTACACATAATTTTATTAATATATATACCTTATAAAATGTACCCTCCCAAACTGAATCTTAAAGAATGAGCAAAAAAGTTACAAACAGCATTTCTATTTTCTCTCTGTAGTCCAAGAAAGGGCACTTTGGAAGCTACTGCTTTAGAAAATAGCTTTTCCTTGGAAAGAGATTTGGGGGAAAGAGCATAGATATTGATCTTGGTTGTTTTGGCTGCAGGCATCTCACTAACACCAATTGTCATCTTGAAGCTTTAGGGAGAGGGGGTTATTCAAGGACAGCAGGACCTGGCAGTTAGTGTGAGAGTGCCTTTATGTGGATGGCTCATTGCCCTGACTGCTGGCATTTTAGTGCGGAATGTACCAGACCTCGTACCAGAGGCAACACCTTAAATCCCCATCTCATGAAGCTAAAATTTTAGGTTTGACTCTGCTGCACAGTGTAGGGGGAAGCTAGGCTGAAGCTGACCAATAGAATTAGCATTGCTCCTGGGCCTGCTACCCAGTTCTCTATCTAACACCCCCAGTCTTATCTATAGTGAGCCATTGTGAGCAAGGAGTTGGAGGAAAAGACCTGGTTGTGAGCATGCATAGTATCAAAAGGGAATTTTTTGGGACAGGTGAAAGTCCTTGTAGTTTTATTGGACTCTACTGAAGATCCTTTCTCTACTCTCTCCCCTCCCCCCAATCCATGCGGCCATAGATTGAATTGAATCCCAATAGCCCAAAATGGGTCCAAATTCTTGCTCCATGGTGACCCAGATAGCATCACAGTGTTATCTACCTGGTAGCTGTCACAAACTTGAGGTGCAAGGGTAATTTTCCGTTTTGGAGAAATTAGAAAATAAACTCCATAACAGGGCTCTCAAACTGTATATAGTGAAAGTTCAGTTTTGTGGTTTTTTTCCAGCCCTTTGCATAGTATGCCTTTTGTCACTCACAACAAAAACGAACTACTGGAAAAATTAATGGAAAGAAAAACAGTTAGACTTTAATTTAGATTTGACAGCTTTTAAAATTTGCTTCGTGAAATCGCTGTAACACTCCTAAATGCTCTCATTTCTGTACTTACTGTGATCCACACTGGCACCGGACCACAGACTATATATTGAGTTTTGATTAAAGTTCCTTTCTGAGTAGTATATGTGCAGATTTGATTTTTTCTGTCACTGAAAATATTTCATTGACTAATTATAATTGAGAACTGTTTTGCACTTGATATGTGTGTATAAATGTGTGTGTGTGTATATATATATATGGGTTTTTTTTTTTTTTTTTTTGCATATAGGTTTTCCTAGGACTTTAGTTCAGGCTGAAACCCTGGACAAAATCTGTGACCTGGATCTAGTGATCACTTTGAACATTCCATTTGAAACACTTAAAGATCGTCTCAGCCGGCGCTGGATTCATCCTCCCAGTGGAAGAGTATATAACCTGGACTTCAACCCACCTCATGTGCATGTAAGAATATACAAAGTGCTTTAACAAATTGACAGGAGAGGCAAAACATTTCCATTGGAAAGTGAGTGAAGGATATCAAGAGACTATTAAAAAGAGCAAATCTCCAAGGTCAACAAATACTTAAAAAAATTTCTCATTCACTAGGGGTCAAGGAATGCAAATTAAAGTTATTGTTAGTGAGGGATCTTGACTTTAGACATATACAAAGTATTAAGAGTTTGTAAATAACAATATACATTGAATCTTTAAAACTTCATTGAATTCACTTGGGAATATGTGCTATGGAAATGAAAGCCTTAACAACCAGAAAGGAACTAAACCAAATTCTGAAAACAAAATGAGTGTTCACATAGAGGGGTTAATTAAATAAATTTAGAGAACAGCCACATTTGGAATATTATATAGCTGGTAAAATTAGTGGCTTAAGTGGTATACTCTCATGGAGAGGAGTCTAGGTGTTGCTGAATGAGATAAGCAAATGGCAGAATGTCCCATTTCTGTGAAACAGTGACGATTCTTCTTTATATGTATATTTAAATGCGCCCTCTAGCATGTAAGAGCAAGAATAAAGATAGGAAGGCTATATCCCAGGATGGCAAGGTGATTGGGACTGAGAATGACTAAGGAAGTGTGGTCAGATTGGGGTCATGTGAGTGGAGGGAGTCAGGAGGTATAAGGACTAGGGACAGAATAAAAAGGTTGCCCTTAGTAGTTCAAAACAATTTATTTTAAAAAGCATTATTCTTTCTGGTAAAGACATGAGTTGGTTCAAACTGGTCAATCTTAACTCCGGTTGTTAGGTAGTAGTTATATACTTGTGTCCTATTGGGTTGATGTTTCTAAAATAGATTAAACTTGAATATACAGTCAGTATTTACTACAGAAAATTACTTCAAGGAGGTAAAGATGACTTCCCAGCTTCTGGGTACCTATAGAGTCTGTCAAATTCCACCAAATTTTTTTCATTTGGTCTAAGTATTAGTCTCCTTATTGAAATATTTTTATAAATGTAAGTTGTTCAAGAATGCCTTCTTAGTGCAAGGGGTTGTGTGAGCACTATGAAGCTATCCGCAGCCACCACAGCATGAGTTCACTCCCCGGCCAGCGAGCTAACCCACATGGCACAGCAGACCTCTCCTGTCTCACCCGCTACTCCCCTCCACAATGTATTTCAGTAGATCTGCCTGTTCTGCTCCCCAGTTTGTCTGTGGTGAATCATCTCACCACCCCCTCACACCTCTTACCTGTACTCCAGCTCTTGTATGCATAAATAAATAAAATAAATCTTATAAGCTGGAGTACAGGCCAGAGATGCAGGGGTTGAGAGGATTCACCAGAGACAGTGGGAAACAGAACAGGCGGACTGACTGAAATACACTGCCGAGAGGAGCAGTGGGTGAGACAGGAGTGGTCTGCCTTGCCATGTTGGTTGCTTCCTGGACAGCCAGGGATTGAACTCATGCTGCAGAGGCCGCAAATTGCTTTATAGTGAGGTGCTTAACCCCCTGCGCCACCAGGAAGGCCCCCTAAAATAAATCTTTAAAAATTTTTTTTGAGAAGCTTTAATACTGAATACTTTCCAAAGACTTGGTATCTCTAAAAGAACACCTGCAATTACAGAGCTACTTCAAAGACAGCTCAAAGTCTGGGCCAGCTCTTACAGTCTCTGGGGTCCAGCCCCAGGACACAGTTGTTGCATTTGTTGGTGCTCTGTTCTGTAAACCACCTCTGAGTTTTGCAGCTATGAGTAAAACAAAGGAGATACCTTCTCCCATCTCCTTCTCTTGTTGTGTCAGGTTGATAGCCGTAATACGTGTGTGACAGCTCAGTGGCTAACCAGTAAATCGTATGTGTAAATTATGTGTCCAAGGTCCTGAGTTGTAATGAATTTTAGTGCATTTCAAGTTTATAGTCAGTTTCTGATTATCCAGTTGAGTTGCCTGACTTTTGACAGGTTTTTTCTTGTGACTACCTCTGGTGGGTAATAGCCATGGCATGGGAGACAAAATTCTTTTTGTGTCCATTTTGCTATTTTCAAACAGGTATGACTCCGAGGAAGTTAAACCATATCGAAAATCAGGTTTTTGTTTTTTTTTTTTAAACTTTAATTTAAAAATATTCAGATCTCAGAATATTTGATTCTGTGTCATGGATTTATGCCTCTTCTAATTCACCTTTAGAGAAGTCATTATTTGACTTAGTAAAATAACCAAAGGTTAATCTCTGAAATGCTACATGATAGAATTTGAAAACTGACAGAACTAAGACTGAAATTCTCTCAGATTTGTGTTTTGTCCTAAATATCAGTTATTTCTTTCACATATTTTGTTATTTTCCATATTAAGAACTCAGGCCTTAGAAAATGAGGCTGTTTTAAGAGTATCTTGAAGGACCAGAGTGACCTTGTTTCAAGGTTGTTTCTTGTTGGGTGATATTGAATAACATTTAATTTATTTATTTTTAACCTTAAAAGAGACAATTTGTGGAAGTAATCTTTTTAATTCAAATCTAATTAAATAGTGTTTTTACCACTTTTTAAAAAAGAATTATTTATTTGTACAAGAACTGGGGTACAGGCCAGAGGCACGAGAGGGTGACAGAATTCACCAGAGACAGAGTGGGGAGCAGAACAGGCATATATATTAAAATACACTGCTGAGGGGAGCAGCGGGCAGGAAAGGTCTGATGTGCCATGTGGGTATCTCCTTGGCCGGTGGGGAATCAAACCTGTGCTGCAGAGGCTGCTGACAGCTTCACAGCTCTGAACTCAACCCATTGTGCCACCGGGGAGGCCCGTTTTTACCACTTTAAAAAAAGAATAAATTTATATAATTTTTAAAAATTCAGTCTAAAGATTGTGAATTGCAGTTACCATTTATCAACAGGATATGTTTAGGAAGATTTGAGAAGTTCATAAAATATAATGTGAGCTCTCATGAAATAAGGTTGACATGCAGTTAAATAGTGTTCTTTCTTTTTCAATGACCTGACCATTACCATTGTCACCCAGGCTTAATTGATCACATGGTAGGAATCAAAGGTGAATCCAGGACAGTTTTAACCTTTGGAATGCCCCAACTGTTGACCCTATTAACAGATTTCTCTGGTATTTCTAGGGGATTGATGACATCACCGGTGAACCATTAATTCAGCAGGAGGATGATAAACCTGAAGCAGTTGCTGCCAGATTAAGACAGTACAAGGATGTGGCAAAGCCAGTCATTGAATTATACAAGTGAGTGTGCTTCAATATCTTCACAGCAGATGGCCAGCTAGAATGGAATGGCACTTTGTGGGAAATTAAGTAAGATAAACCCTAGAAGTCTAGTATACCTCTCCAGAAATCAGATTAAATGTCAGAGTTGTTTGTATGTGGGAGACAAAGTCCAGTATTTTAATGCTGAAACTCTTACAGCATAAGGGATAAAACCAGGGCATCTAAGCTTGGTTGTAAAAGCGAATCTTGACTTTTTCAAAATTTTTCTTGTAAAGTGGCTGAAGTAATGGTTTACGTAATTGCAGATGTAAATGTATCTGTATCTGATTTAGATAAAAAACTAAAGGGACTTTTTTGGCTTTTTTGGCCTCACTCTGGAGGGAGTTTAACAAAGAAAAACTAAAAGTATAAACTACAGATTGCAAACTCCGATGTCTGCAAGGGCTAAACAGGTATCCGGAATGAGTGTCAAACCTGGCAGGGAATGTCACAAGCTGGACAGTTGAGTGAAAGTTGGTCTAGACAGTTCCTGTGCTGCTCCAGGCAATTATCACCACAGGACCACTCAGGCCTGGTATGGCCAGTGACCCCTATTATTAAAGAGAAGTAGAAATCTGACTCTTCATGTGTGAAAAAAAATTGCAATTTTTATATTGGCAACAAATTAAAAAATGTTGTCAGCATGCAAGCTAAGCAAAGCCTGTTTGTGACTACATGCAGGGCAACAGTTCACAATCTCCATCCACTGTGATCTCATGCTGTAGTCCCTAAATAATCTAGTAACCCAGATGTTCCCCATCATATTTATGATATAGTGCAGTGTTCCATGACCTATTGTTGGAAGTAATAGGGTTTTAGAGTATCAAGATTTGTTAGTGATTGGCCTATCATAAATTTATGAGGCTGATTTGTAATTGTTCGTCTAATGTTACTATTTCTTTTAAAGGAGAGAAGGAAAAGTGCCTTCATGGCAAGCTTGCCAGAATTGCAAAAAGCTACAGCTTTATTTAGACATAGCTGGTAGGGGTGTTGACACCATTTGAAGGGGCTGTCTTGGCCCTTAGCATTGTGTGATACAGATCACAACACCATGTTGTATCACACCCAGGATCTTCATGTGCCCTAGTACCATGTTAAAAGGAAAGCTAAAATGCTCTTGTTTACTGGACTTTGTTTTTCAGGAGCCGAGGAGTGCTCCACCAGTTTTCTGGTACGGAGACCAACAAAATCTGGCCGTATGTTTACACGCTTTTCTCAAACAAGATCACGCCTATTCAGTCCAAAGAAGCATACTGAGCCGGCCCAGCAGAAGAACCAGGAAGATGCCATTCACTCAATTGTACGTGTAGTATCGGTGCCATGTCCCAATTAGAAGCTCTCACTAGCTGCAGTAGCGTGCAGTGGTCTTTTCTAGTTTAAATGATGAACTGATATGAAAACTAATGAGTAGAAAGAGTTGATGAAGAGACTCTTCTGTCTTTCAAAAGAAGGACCACCTACACATGTTTAAGATTTCTCTGCACGTGTGTGAAGCCCTTCTCAGGAAAGCGACACCTGGCTGGATTTCAGACAACATATAACCCAAGCTCTAGCTGAGTTTTGACTTCCAGGGCATGCTTTTTATGCATGATGGTGGTGGTACCTGATCCCCCCATCTCCCAAAGGCTGTTGAACCTCAGCACCAGAAAGCTGAGAGTCCCAAGGCTGTTGCTTGGGCCTGTCCCAGTTTCTCCAGTATGTGTCCCCTTGGTGACCATGAGATTGAAGCCAGTTGCTCTCAGTGGTTGCATCTCTGGCCGTGAGTGGCTGTGTCCACAATTCATGATTTCTATTCTGTATCCACATTCCACAGAATCTCTCCTTTATGAAAGAATTTGGCTTGTAGACTGTATTTTTTTAAAAATGTTTTTTCCCTCCTGGGCTATTAAATAAAGTAGCTATTTCTGAAAGAAGGTAAGAACTAAGGGGTGATATGGAATCTCTTCATGCACCAGAAACTGAGCTCTGTGGAGGGTCTCACCTTAACTGCTTGTTTGATGCACAGTTAACCCCGCTCTTTTTTTTTTTTTTTTTTTGGTGGAAAAATAAAATCCCCAATGTCTTTTGGTCATCCTCAAAAAAAAAAAAATTGAAAAATTATCAACTATATAAGTATTAAAAGGTCATATTTTATGCATAGAAATAACAAGACTGAATGGAATTAACTGGAGTGTAAAAATAGTTGTGCTTTTTACTCAAGATAAAAAGATGTTTTGAAAATGCTGCTACGTATTGATGCTGACAGTGTTTATCTCCTGTAAGTGACCCAAAGCATATTAGGGAATGAAGCCTGTGGGGTAGAGGGAAATGCTGCACTAACTGTGCCTCATCTGAGTATGACAGCTTTACAATTATGGGAAAACAAGATTCTTTTTTCTATTCCAAAGATGCTTTCTATAGGGTGGTCATTACGTCTAAAGATTTAGATAATACTATCTTGTCACTCATTGTAATATATTACCAATAAACCATGTACTAAGGGTTTACCTGATTTCAGACTTGGTGGCCACTTTGCATAATTTTGCTTTCCTCTGGGACAGACAATGAAATTTATTCCAGTTGCCTTAAAAATAAATATTCCTCTTCATGCATCCCAACTGTCCCCAGGAAGAGTCCTTTGCTATTCCTGGTAGTGACTTCTGCCTAACCGTATTGGGTGACAAAAGGAGGTTGATTTCAGTATTTTAGTGGCGATGAAACAATGTATTTTATTTTTGCAGTTGTGCTAGTGAATCTCCAGTCAATTCACTGGCATGTGCATTCTGTTGTAGCAAGTGCATCTCCTTATAGATAGTGCCCCAAATCTTGCCAGTTCCTCCTCCTTTGCCCCTTCACATGAATGTTCTTTGACTACTTTAGTGAAAACATATAGGACAGTCTCCTCTTCATCCTCTGAATCGCAGCACAATATAAGACGTTTACTGTTTAGGTTTGTGCAGTTGAAATGCCAAGTCAGTCGATGACACATCAGTGAATGGTGCCACCTTCTGAGTGCTTTACAGGAGTCCTGCTTGAATGCCAGTTGATGGAGATAGAGTGAAAATCAGGTGTGTGGACACAGCTCAGGTTTTCTAGGGAAACAGGTATAATGCTAGGAGAATCGTACAGTATAGAGTAGTACTCTTAGGGTGACAATTTCCATAAGCTAGCAAGGTAAGGTTGTGTCTGCATCATTCAGAAGAAAAAAAAAAAAAGATGTGCTTTTGGGGGAAAAAAATCTTCAAACCTCTTTGTTCACTTTCCTGAGTGTATAACAGATGTTCCACTGTAATCACTGCCTCCTGGGGCTTTGGGGGTAAGGTTTGGGAAATGGTAAATGGCCTGAATCCAAGTCCCTGCCTAACCTCTTCATTCTTCCCTTTCTTTTCCCTTCTAGCAAAATAGACAGTTATGGCCGACACCAGAGTCACTCAGCATGTCTCACCGGTTTACTTTACCCAATAGTTGAGAGTCCTTTGTTAGATGACACCATTAAGAAACAAAACACCTTTCCTGTGATCTTTGAGGATGATGCTTGTCTCATTTTCTGTGGCTTAAAAAGATCTATTTCTAATGGTTTTCTTTAGCAAACTCCAATTTTCCCTTCAATGATTTTGTTTTCTTGAAAAATTTTGACAAAAGTAAAATTAAAAAGACCTTTCTTTTCTTCTAGAACCCCACATGTGGTTCCTTCAGTTAGTTACACAACAAAAATCGTTTGGGTGATCTCTTAGATTCCAGTCTGTCCTCATGTTCTGTGATTATTGCCAGCTCTGAATTCATTTTATTTTCTATTATCCTAGCAGGAGTCCCACTAACTTAGAATTTGAAACCATAGCTGTGTTTAATACCCTGTAACACGATAAAGACTTAAAATCAGTCCTATTCATTGAAGGCCGACTGAATGATGTGCAGTTTTAGAACAATTCTAAGCATTTATTCTTTCAAACATCCTTCGAGATTGGCATGATTCCATATTTATAAACAAAGAAGCCTGGGTCAGAAACTAAAGCATCTTGCCCAGGTGCCTACTGCCAATCAGCAGGGAAACCAGGACTAGTCCAGGTCTTCCTGACTCTGCAAGCTGTGTTTGCGTGGAAGTTAACTCTCTATGTCCTATGCCAGGCAACCCAGGGCAGGTGCCCGCTGGGCTTGGCTTGAATATCTGAGTGGCCTCACATCAAAAGTAGCTGAGTTCACCATGGGGACATCCAGCCCTGTATGAAACTCCCATTTCCTTTTGCTTAAGCAAAGGAAGCTGCTAGAGGAGCCATCTGAGCCCTAGATCCTCCTCTGCAACTATCATTTAAAATAAAATGAAAGTTCTCAAAATAGGCTGGACTTGGATTCAGGCTCACCAGTGGCAGAAGTAAGCTCGTGTTTGTCACCTGGGTGTCCATGGTATTGCACCCTGAAAGGACTTTTCCCCTTGACTTCCACCAGCCGGGATGCTCACACATAGGCCTGGGCTCCTGAGAGCTTTCCAAACACTGTTCACTTTTCTTCTCTGAGATCAGAACAATTTGTTCCCCCTCTCCCACTCCCGAACATAATAAATGGCTCTCATCATGAATTGGTCCTCTGTAATAGGTGAACAAATGAGATTGAGCACCTAATACAGGATAAGCTGTGACTTGTGTCCCAGCTCCCTAAATGAGTGCCAATTCAGGCCTGTCCACCACGTGATAGGGTGGCACTGCTTTTGTCGCCATATCGTTCTGACTGCAGCTGATCTTCCTATCTGATCCTCCTTCCCCAGTGTATACCCTTCTGTCCACCATAATGCAGCAGTTACATTCTCATGAGCTTCTACCTCTCCCACTGGGAGGAAAGGTAAAAAGTAAGAGTCATGGGTGAGGGGAGTTTTTGGAGAGAGGTACTACTGTGGCTTCTCCTGCCATGTTATACAATATTGACACAAGACGATTTTAAATAGAAAGACACTTGGGTAAACCCACAGATAGGAATTTTATAAAATTTGTTTCCCTGGAGCCTAAGTTTAATATTTAACATCAAATATTTCACTGTCTAAAGAGTTTCCAACCTTCTGGGGATCTTCACTCAGATCACAAAGACCACATGTTTCTACATGTATTAAGATACAGGCACTCTTGGTAGTAATTGTTTACTGGTACTTCATGCTGAGCACATTACATGCATTGTCTAATTCAATCCTGAGCAATTAGCCTATGTAATATTATCTCAATGATCTGCCTTCCTTGTATTTAAAAACTGAAATAATCCCATTTACTGAAACTTGTTTTTTCATGTACCTACAGGGATTAGTCAGGATATTCAAAAGGGCCTTTGCTGTACCTTTTCTTAGTTTGAGTTCCCCATTCTGTCAGCAGGAAGGACCATGTGTCTGCCCCCTACCTGAAACCTTTGCTTTTGGCACTCTCATGCTGACACAGGAACTGGGCACTTGGTGGGTGTGGGTGGTAGTTGCACACTGAATATACAGAGGCCACCAGTCTCTTCTGTCCTCAGGTTGGGTAATGGGATTTCGGGAGGCATTTCATCTACCTGATGAATTTCATGTATTAGTTTTCACTGAACAGACACCATCGTTTCTTGTTAGAGTTAATTTTGCCAGAAAGGTCATTCGCAAGACAGAGTTGTGTTTATAGTATGAAATGCTTTTTCTCTATTCCCCTCTATTTGTAGTAATTCTTTTATACATTTGGTGTCTGAAAAGGACCCAGTAATAATAGATAATTCTTTTCACATAGGAATGTGGCCTGGTTATCATCCCTTTCCTTTTATAACTGACCCAGTCTGGTTTCCAGATGAGAAATGTGCAAAACCCAGATGTTGGGGAGACCTGAAACCACATTTCAACTCTGAAGAAAAATCTGTTTCCTGCATCTGTTGAGACATAAGTACAGTTTATATGCCATACCTTATCTTTTAACAAATGGTAGGATTCATTGACAAAATAGATGCCATTATCTAAATACTTCAGGGAATCCCCCAATTTGAAGAGAGAGAGAGAGAGAGCAGAGAAACATTTTTGAAAGGGAGAAAGGTCCTGTATGTGTCGAAATACATTCCTTCCTTGGTAATAACTAGGACACCCAGTGTCATTCTTGAAATAAAAGGTTTCCTCCTTAAAACTTTTCAAAGGAGCAGCACACTTGTGAAGATTCTCCCAAGGTCTGGTGTGTGTCTAATTTCATTTTAAAAAACCTTTCTTCATTTTCAAGTTTTGGCTGTAAATTTAGAAATGTACCAAATGATAGCAAACTTTTTTGGTATTTAATATAGAGAAGAGTGAAAAGGCAAAGTGAAAACAATCTTTAAGTTCCAAGGAGTCAGGGCTTAGAGGACTTTTCTAGTTTTATGAGAATTTGTACTACTGATTTTTATATATTGTTGAGATGAACAGATCTTGGGAAATGTTGAGTTACAATGGCATTTCACTGTGATTCCCCTTAAGCTCAAATCTGTTCTCTAACCTGATGTCTCTTTGGTTTACTGTCCTGTGAAGTGTTAGCTCTAGTTTTCCAGAATTGTGTGTTTACAATGAATCAGTGCTTTTCTTTAGTGTGAAAGTTGTCAGCCCTCTTGATTTTGGTGTACACACTTAATTCAAAGTATCAAAAACTGTAGTCTGATCTGTTATATGTTTTCCTCTTAAGTGTTTCATCTATTATTTTATCTTGCTTGAAGATTGAGTCATACTTTTTAATTTGATGGAAATAAAGTCTTTTTCTGCTTCTAACTAGTGAGTTCATTTTAGCATTGTATATATTTTTTACTCTTGTCAAGCATACAACCTTACAGATACTGCGTTTATTCCTCCCTGTAACCATTATACTGTCAATGGTTTATCTCCAACTCACAGCCGGCCATGGGGGTGGAACAGAGAGCATGGTGTTGCCTGGATAGATAAGGGGACAGTTGGTTTCAGAGCAAGATCCTGATCCCAGGAGTTATGACCCCCAGTTTTTAAAAATTTTTTATTTTTGCTTAGAACTGGAGTGTAGGCCATAGGTGCCGGGGGTGAGAGGATTCACCAGAGACAGAGTGGGGAGCAGAACAGGTGAATCTACTGAAATACATTGCTGAGGGGAGCAGCTGGCAAGACAGGAGAGGTCTGCTGCACCATATGTGGGTTAGTTCCCTGACCAGAGATAGAACTCAGGTGTGTGGTGGTGATGGTACTGAGATTTAACCCCTGGGCCACTAGGGAGGCCACCCTGATTCTTTTATTTCCTGTTAGATTATGTTGCTTCATTTTGTGTACCCTCAAATTCCTAATTTATCTAGCACTACAATCATCACAGATTTTTTTTAAAGATTTATTTATGCATACAAGAGCTGGGGTACAGGCCAGAAATGCAGAGGGTGAGAGGACTCACCAGAGACAGAGTGGGAACAGAACAGGCAGAGTGACTGAAATACACTGCTGAGGGGAGCAGCGGGCAAGACAGGAGAGGTCTGCTGCGCCATGTGGGTTTCTCCCTGGCCAGTGGGGATAAAAACTCGTGCTGCAGAGGCTGTGGATTACCTCATAGTGCAGTGCTTAACCCCTTGTGCCACCCAGTCATCACAGATTTTTATGAACATTCTTTAATTTTATTTTTGAAACAACTGGATAATGTGAGCAGATTTGCTCCCTATTTTTCAAATTAGGAGACTGAATCTACCTATCATTGCCAGTGTCGGGTTAATCAGCAAAAGCAGGAACCCCCCAGGCCTATCTGGTGGGAGCTAGAGCAATGAAGGAAAAACAACTTCTGTAGGAGAAACCTCCTGCTGGAAGGTGACCTGGATATGATGGCGATGCAGTGGATAATACTGAAGTTTCTGGAGATTTTGCATCTCTGCCCCACTGGCTTTGTTCTTGGGCATATGCTTTGCTTTTGTCACAGACAAAATGTTTTTGAGCAGAAGCCTTAGGAGTCAGGACATGGTCACAAACCTCTTTTCTCCTGCAGTGAGACTAGCAGTGTCTTCTTGCTTTTTCTTTCAACCTGAATCCTAAAATGAAGATACAGAGCAGGGATACAGCCAGCCCATGATGAATGAGTAATATGCATGAAAAATAAATCTTTGCTTATATGAGGCACTAAAGTTTGGTACCACAGCACAATTTGGCCCAAGCTGACTTATAGAAATGGGCCCAAGACTAGTATGTCATATCCAGTGATAGCTTTGTTTCTTTTACCAAGCACTTTTAGGGCCTGGGGATGCAAAGATGAATAATATCCAGCTTTTGCCCTTGACTTCCTCACAGTCTCCTTGAGGGGGTGGACATATGATTAGATAACTCCACCCGTAACGGTTGGAATTAATCACTGGATTTTATTTGAGAGAACACAAAGGGAATGACTTGCTTGATCATGGCAAAGCAAATCTCTCAGTTGAGTGATGCAGGAGAGTGGGAGGGCCAGCTGGGGGGGATGGTATGTGGGCAGATTGTGAGCATGTATGCCTTGTGAAGGCCAGAGGTAGGACTGGAGTAATAGAGATAAATTTGAGTTGTACTAGGAGGTTGTACTGACCTTGTCTTAACTTTTTCATGATAGATGGTAGAGGCTCTGCTAGAAAGTGGCTCATCTGATTAGCATTCTAAAATTGTAATTATAGATCTAAACTCACATGTGGTAGTAGAGCACAAGGAAGGATGATTGGGTTATAACAGGAGTAAAAGAGTTGAATGCCTCCAAGGGAGAAGTCTGGAATAGAAACATGAATTGGGGATAAGTGAGCAGTGGGAGTGGTGGGGACTGTGTACACTGCTTTTTCTTTTTTTGTTTTAAAAGATTTATTTATTGACTCCACACACCCCCCCCTCGGAGCAAGTGCGCTTGCGCCGCTCGCTTGAGCCGAGGTCGGGAACATGGCCGCGCGGTCCCTGTGGGCGGGCCGGCGGCGGTTGCAGCGCCTCCTGGCCTGGAGTGCCGCCTCTGACGGCAGATGGATGCGTCCTTTCAGCACTGCCACCCAGAGAACCACTGGCGAGGACTGCAGTTCCGAGGACCCTCCTGATGAGCTTGGGCCCTCTCTTGCAGAAAGAGCCTTAAAGCTAAAAGCTGTTAAACTGGAGAAGGAAGTCCAGGATTTAACAGTGAGATACCAAAGAGCTGTAGCTGATGGTGAAAACATAAGAAGGCGAACCCAGAGATGTGTAGAAGATGCCAAGATATTTGGAATTCAGAGTTTCTGTAAGGACTTGGTGGAGGTGGCAGACATTTTGGAGAAGACAACAGGGTGCATTTCTGAAGAAACAGAGCCTGGGGACCAGAAGCTCACTCTGGAGAAGATCTTCCGAGGGTTGTCACTTTTAGAGGCAAAGCTGAAAAATGTGTTTGCTAAGCATGGCCTGGAGAAGATGACACCCATCGGTGACAAATACGACCCTCATGAGCATGAACTCATTTGTCACGTGCCTGCTGGTGTTGGGGTGCAGCCTGGCACTGTGGCATTAGTCAGGCAAGATGGCTACAAGCTTCATGGCCGCACCATTAGACTTGCCCGGGTGGAAGTGGCGGTGGAGTCTCCGAGAAGACTCTAAATAGGCCATCGGGAACTGAGCGCTCGCCCAGAGTGCAGTCACCTGTGTCTCCTTTATTTATTAAGCTAGGTTTGTATTGTACATGAGGTACTTCATGTGGTCTGGGTTGGATTTAGTCATATTGGCTTTATTTCTGAGATACTGTTCATTTCACGTGACCTGTTTGGTCTCATCAGAAACCTTGCCCTTGGGCATTTGAACAATGTGACAAGTGTTTGTATGACCTTTATCAGAATATGTTTAGGAAAATTGTTTTTAAATTGATACTTTGTTCACTTTCATTCCAAAATCTTTTTGAAAGGTAAAGACAAGTATAAGTTTGTGTATTTTCAAATGATTGTTCCTCTTTAATGTCTCTACCATGGTTTGTTAGGATCTTATATTTTGTGGGAAAAGGAGATGATAAGGATTGGTTCAACATTTGGGTACTTAGATGATAAAACATTGTAATTGTACGAATTTAGATCATTTGAGTTGATTTTTATACACTTGGATTTTCAGGACATTTTAATTTTCCTTTTAGCAATCATTTGTCCTTGTATGCCCTGTCAGGCACATGTCATAGTTCCCCTCATTGTTCCTTTCTGGCTCCATTTACAAGAACTAAAGGTCCAGGCAAGGCTTGGAAGGCAGGGAACATTGAAACATTGGAACTACCCCAAAGCCTTGTGAGGAAGGAGGACCAGCAAACCTGGTGCTGAGTATCTTCAACTTACTTTCAGCCTCCCTGGGTATATAATCATTTCTGGGAAATGAGGCAGCACAAGCAGCTTATTTTATAAATTGTTCTGTGTAAGTAATTTACCTACAGTTTTTCTTTCATGAGCCCTGAAATCTAGTTTGCCTTGTTATCCTTTACCTATTCATTAAAGAGAAGATGGTCAAGACAAAAATGTTAGGTTCCCACCATTTCTCATTTTCATTGAGTTACACTAATTTTTTTTTTTTTTTTTTTTTTCCACAAATCACTACCTCTGTTACATTGACAAACTTTAGTTCCTAGTTATTATGTCATGGTGTAAACATCTCACTCCCTTCTATGTATTTACCTGGGGTCATTGAGCCTATGTGTTTCTTATTTTTTCGGTATTGCTTATAACTAGTAGTCTGTAAATGTGTTGTTCAATAAATGGGTTAGCAAATGAATTAAAAAAAAAAAAAAGATTTATTTATTTTTATATAAGAGCTGGGGTACAGGCCAGAGGCGTGGGAGGGTGAGAGGATTCACCAGAGACAGATGGGGAGCACAATAGGCAGATCTGCTGAAATACACTGCTGAGGGGAGCAGTGGGAGAGACAGGAGAGATCTGCTGCACCATGTGGGCATTTCCCTGGCTGGCCAGGAATTTAACCCGCACTGCAGAGGCTGCAGACAGCTTCACAGCACTGTGCTCAACCCGCTGCACCACGGGGGAGGCCTGCACTGTTTTTTCTAAAAGGGGATTGTTCTGTTCTGGCCCATTGTTAGCACTTCAGCATGCTGACCCAGTGCTGTCAAGTCACCCAATTTGTTCAGATTAAGCCAGACAGTTATGCTTTTACCTGAAATCTTATTTTTAAGTGTTAGTGATTTAAATTTAAAAAAAATTGCACAAGTCAAACAGCATATCCTTTTACCCAAATAACCAGGGAACAGAATATTATAAACTCATTTTATTTGAGTGGGGACATAAATATCAGAATGGGCTATAGAGCCATGTGGACATGCAAGATTGGGCAGGAATTAGTTGGAAAAGGAGAGGTTCCAGAGAGTCCATATTAGCTGGAGAAATATTAAGAAGGGCCATGCTGGATTAGACCACTCATTGTAGAGAAATGAAAGGAAGGAACTTAAAAGTACAAAGCCTAAATGTGTAAGTTTTGAGGAGGGAATAGCCACTGGGAGATAACACATGATCTTGGAAAGAGGAAGCCTCTCTTGGAAATTTGGTGACAAAGAGAAAAATAAAAAAGTTGGTGGATATTAAAAGCCTTATAGGAATTAGAATTCAATGAAATCTAAGACAATCTAAATTATCACACCCCCCCAACATATCCCCACAGATGGTATTCCTTTTTTTTAAGATTTATTTATGCATACAAGAGCTGGGGTGAGAGGATTCACCAGAGAGAGTGGGGAGCAGAACAGGCAGATTTACTGAAATACACTGCTGAGGGGAGCGGCCAGTGAGACAGGAGAGGTCTGCTGCGCCATGTGGTCACCCCCCTGGCCAGGGATTGAATTCATGCTGCAGTAGCTGCAGATTGCCTCATAGTGCTGATGCTTAACCCGTTGTACCACCAGGGAGGCCCCAAAGGTGGTATCCCTTAAAGAAATTGTACTTCACTGTACCAACTGAAGAGGGCATTATTGAGCTTTGAAACTTGCAAGTTGCTGAAATCCAACCCCACCTGCAGAAATACCTGGTCTAGAAAAATAAGTCTTGACTAGAAAAAGGCAACTAACATTCACACAGTTACTTTTTAAAGAGAATAAATTGAGAATCAAATTTCTTTAGCTGATGAAAACGTTCAAGAACCAACCTCAAAATAGAAAAAACTAGCACAACACTCCAATATCAATCAAATACTCTTTAACAAGCAATAACAGATATGAAAAAGTACAATAAATTGGAAATTCACAAATCCAGAAGAGGAGTGGACACACAAAAATTTTTTTAAAAGATTTATTTTTATTTATTTATGCATACAAGAACTGGGGTGTAGACCAGAGGTGTGGGCGGGAGGGGTATGAGAGATAGCGCTGAGACTTTAACCCCTATGCCACCATGGAGGCCCTAAAACAAAAATATTCAAGTGAAAATTGACTGAACACAAAGTGAAAAAAAATGATCCCTCAAATTAGGACTAAATTACAAGATTCATGAAGGGGTATAGATTCAACAAAGCGTACAACAGAAAAATGGAAAAGTGACATAAACATTTACCAAGAGAATTAATATTAAAAAAGCAAAAAACTCAGAAATATGGGTCTCCCTGGTGGCACAAGGGGTTGAGACGCAACCTATGAAGCTGACTGCAGCTGCTGCAGCACAAGTTTGATTCCTGGCCAGGGAGCAACCCACATGGCGCAGCAGACCTCCCCTGACTCGCCTGCTACTCCCCTCAGCAGTGTATTTCACTCATTCTGCCTGTTCTGTTCCCACTCTGTTCACACCTCTGGCCTGTACCCCCGTTCTTGTATGCATAAATAAATACATCCTAACAAAAATCTCAGAAATAAAATAATAGATATAAAAGAGAGACAATGAAGATCTAACACACCTATAACTGAATGTTCTAAAGAAGAACAATAAAATAATAAATCAAACTGGCATTTAAAGCTAATTCAGTAAAAGCTTACAAAAAAAATAAATAAATCCTAAACAGTGGAGCTAAAAATTGACTATAAAAGTCAACTTTAAAACATATTTTAGTATGTCCAGGAAAATCACTCTGGGCATGCAGGCAAAATCATGAAGTGGTTCAATATACGAATCAAAACAAGAATGGAATCTTTTCAGAGAAAGGAAGTATGAATCAAAGGTTTTATATCCTGCCCAGCCTCAGTTATCATGCAGATGTAGCAAAAATAATGTCTACAGTTGCTACTCTGGATGAAGAGTAGCAGGGGTAATAGTCTTTCCCTAGTCCCTGACAAATACAAACCAGTTTCCTGTCTGTAGATTTGTCTGAGTATTTCATATAAATGGAATCATGTAAGTGTTCTTTGGTGACTGACATTTTCATTGAGCATGGTGTTTTGATGATCTCATTGGTGTTTGAACACTTAATTGAATTTGGTAGAAGATATCACAGATTCATCTTGCATTTTGCTTTCTAAGGCTGGAATTAGCAATATCTCAAAAGTTTTCTTTTAGTGGAAATTGGTATTTCAAAAACACTAAGATCTTGGTACTAGATGTGCTCATTTTTATTGTGGTGCTATTTGATAGAATTAAGAAGTACGTATTTTTTTAATTATAAGTTCAAACTGGTATTTATAATTCAAATTTCAACATTACAGAGTTTTTTCATATTCTGTTTTTATAGTTTTATTCTTAAAAGGAGTATCCTGATTCCTATTAACATTAACATTTATTTATTTCCTTTATCTAGGTGTTACTCCCAGAGTCATATAAGTCAACTCATTGGGCTGTTCAAAACTAGGAAGGTTTTCTTTAAAAAAAAAAAAAAAAAAGCCTGTTCATTAGGGTACTTAGTGGTTTAATAGATTTGCCTTCTGGTGAGAGCTCCTTATCTTTTTGAAAAGCAGTAGCAGATGGCTCACTGGTAGTTGGTTATTGAGTATTGTATGTCAGTTTTATATTCTGCAACATTTGTTAAGGAATTTTTTTTTTTTAAAGTGTCCTCTCAATTCTCTCTACTTTTTTTTTTTTTAAGATTTATTTATTTATTTATACAAGCACTGGGTACAGTCAGAAGCGCGGGAGGGTGAGAGAATCCACCAGAGCCAGAGCAGGGAGCAGAGCAGGCAGAAGGACCCAAGTACACTGCTGAGGGGAGCAGCGGGCGGCAGGAGAGGTCTGCGCGCCATGTGGGACCCTCCTCTGGTGGCCGGGGAGCAGCCGGGGATTGAACCGGCGCTGCAGAGGCTGCGGGCAGCTTCGCAACCCAGCGCTCAACCGCTGCGCCACCGGGGAGGCCCTGTTAAGGAATTCTTTATTACTTATTTGTTGTAAAATTGATTGTCTTGGGTCGTCCCTGTATAATATCAGTACATAGAAATAGTTTCCCTTCTTTTTTCCTTCTTAATTATAATTGTTTTCTTTTGTCTGACTGCATTGGCTAATCTTTCCAACACACTGTTAAATACTGAAGGTATTGCCATTCTGATCTTCTTCCTGAGAATAGGGAAACGGTCTCTCATGTTTTTCCTTTAAGAATTCTCAAATTCAAAAAAAGATAAACTCATGCCATTCACAGCAATGTGAATGGGGCTAGAAGGAATTATGCTCAGTGAAATAAGCCAGAAGGAAAAAGAAAAATATTGGATGGTTTCACTTATAACAGGAATATAGGGAACCAAATAAGACATCAGTGTAAAAAAAAAAATAACAGTACAAAACACAACAAAGCAAAAACAGACAATTATAAATCAGAGACATACTACAGGGGAGGAGGAGGGAGAGGGATTAGAGGGAGGGAGGGAGGAACACAGGGCACTGTGGTGATGGTGCACGGGTGTCTTGGGGAAGGAAACTCTATGGGGATTACACCTGAGGGGGGTGGGGGGAAGCAAATATTGTTTAAAGAATTAAAAAAAATGATAAATGTTAAAATAAAAAATAAAATAAAAAAAGAATTCTCAAATTCCCTCCATTTTATGTTCACTCTGTCTTTTTCACTGTTTTTTTCCTAAGAAGTTTTAATTCCATTAATATATTTCTTTATCTCCTCCCTTATGCTTTATTTTAGGCAAGTTTGGCTTTTACCCACCTAGAGAACAAAAATATTAAGAATTTAATTCATTTACGTTAATTCCATAATTTTAATATGTACATAAGGCCATTGAAATTTCCTGAATATTATCATAATAATCTCTCACAAATTCTGAAATGTAATATTTTTTACTATAATACAGAAATTCTTCATTTTTGTTTTGTTTTTCTTTTTCAATACAAAGACTATCTAATCTTAATTTCAAATTTCTATGTGAAAGAGCTTTTGATTTTTTAAACTGATTATTTTCTAGTACATTGCTTATGGTCAAAATATTTTTTGTATGATTTCTATTTCATGGAGCTTTTGCAGATTTTTTGGTCAGGTTTTGTAACTCCATGAAAAGAAGGTATATTCTCTACTATTGCTTGTCTGCATTTAAGTTATGGGCAACTATAAAAGAATTCAATTATTAGATTCATTAACTAGTATATCTAAGAAAAATGAGATTGGTAATTAGAATATAATGCATTTCAGTACATCAGATTAGATCTACTGGAAATCTGTTTGTCCAACTAATTACTTTGCTAATTATAAGTCTATAGTTTTCAGTTCCTAAGACAGAATGTGCCAGTTGATCAAAATGGAGAGTGGAAGAAAATTTCATCTTTTACAATTACCTTGGTGTTTTTCTTTTATAATCTCTGCCACTTATTCCTTGGTTGTATTTTTCATGTCGTCTTTAAAGAGGTCTGTGAGG